ATGCACCTTCAAAGATTAAACGTCATGAGCATGTCAAAGCGAACAGGGCATTGCTATGCAATGTGCTTCAATAAACGCTTCAATACCATACAGCATTATCATGCACTAGTTCAGAAAGACAAAATGTACGGGTTAGACAGGTAAATTTTGCTCAAAGAGAATTATTAATTAATTTATAGAGAATTAGAATCACTTATTACGGCCAAGCAAATGACTTGTCCAGTGTTCATTTGAATGGGCCGTAACTATCAGCTCTACCCCGAATATAAATATTCAAATTAGTGAAAAAACTATTTATTTGCAAGGTAACTTGGATCCGCAGTTTAAGACATCAAATCCATATACAAGTACATAACACAAGAACACTTTTCTTTAAAATACAAACAATACTTTGATTATTCTAACACATAAAACTAATACTGTATCTGTCACACACACACATTCATACGAGTTGCAGAAAGAAAGAGAGTGAGGAAAAAAATAGTTTTAAGAGTGAGATGATGAAATCCCAAGTTTCTATATGAAGAGTTCAGATGCAAAAGCCTCTAAATGCCATTTGAAATTTTCTTCTTTAATGATGATTTTGATCAAACTTGTATATTTAAGTTCAGTAATTTCACTTAAATAACAATTAATAGGTAATTATCATTGCCATTTAAGTGAAATTACTGAACTTAAAAATACAAGTTTGATAAAAATCATCATTAAAGAAGAAAATTTCAAATGGCATTTAGAGGCTATTGCGTCTGAACTCTTCATATACACTTATAAGACATGACCTGAACGAACCATCAATCATTAATTTAACCCTTCTGTAATTTCTTAGGTGGGGTTATTAAATATTATATCAAAGCAACAGTTCAGCTAAGAGTCTGGAGGTTACTTGCTTGTCTTTGTATTCCTTTAGGAATTTCTTTTGTCGGCGAAAAGTGGGTTTCCCGGGTTCGATGATTGGCTGGCGGTCTCCTCGTCTCTTGATCGCGGCCAATCACGTGGTGTGCTGGTGGATGGAAAGTCTTTGAAGCTTGAAGCGGGCTTTGCAGTCGAATCATGGGCCGATACTTTTCGGCAAATCTTAATTTAGAACCAAGACTCTCGACGAAAAATAAAAGAAAACTAAGTGAGAGAATGAAACGTGTGACAGCGGTTAGATGGCTTGAATGAAGCTGTTTAACCCATGTTCTTCTGATCTTGATTTGCGTTCTTTTGTTGGCTCGTCTACATGGTTACTTGTCTATCTGGTTACTCCGTCATGGCTTCTCCATTATTGTCTTTAAATCTGCTCTATGTACCTTCTAATGCATTTTGGTGTCTTCTAATGCTTCTAAGATTTTAAACTTAAATGTTTTTCCTGCCTCCTGGATGAGTTCTGACCAGTTAGTCTTTATTTCAGAGGTGGCATTTTCTTATTAATCATTCGTTATCTGTGATCTCTTTACTCTCCAGCTCCAACAGAGAGTACACAGGGTACAGTTTAGACATGATTCCTATTATAAGAATACGAAACATTTTACACAGATTTCAATCAAGTCATCCTCTGAATTTTGGACCTACGATCGTACTGACATGAAACAAGTAACACATTCAAACATCTAAGAGTTATAACAATTGCTTGACTTATATGTGATCTAAGCATGATAATCACATTAGATATGATATAGAATTATGTAGTTGAACAATGTTTGATTATAAGCCTTGTTTTGGGATGATTTTGGGTCTGGAGTATTGAGTTTTGGGTAGAATTATGTTTGAACGACTCATCTAGAAGATTAATTTGTGTTTGCTTCACCCTTAAATCCTACAAAACATACCAGTTTTGTAATGTTTACTTTGTGTCCAGTATAGATAGCCTCAAACAGTTGTGGTGCGTCTGGTGCAGGGGTTTTTATAGGCGTGACACTTGCTTGACAGTGTTTTTTTACTCAATTGCTTGACTACTCAGTTGTTACTCAATTGTTTCTTGCATAGCAACACAGCTAAAAGTATTCCTAATATGTTGGACATTTTATTGAAAGTAGCCTACTTTTACTTGAGACAAGCACTCGTAAGAGTTGTAGGCCTATTTGTGATGTTTGAGTTGGGGGAGGTGTGATGTAATTCTGTAATTTTTGTAATTCTATAGTTGCAAGTGCCACTAGTGTCTTACATACTTGACCTTTAAAAGAATAAAGGTTCTTCACTGGCATCTATGGTTCCATGAAGAACCTTTAACATCTATGAAACCTTTCTATTCCACAAAAGGTTCTTTACACTAAGGCAAAAAATTAGAACAAGGACTCGAACAGCTCCCAGTAGAAAGGCACAGGTTGTTATTTCATAATTACAGTAATTACAGAATGACATGAATGCAGCATAAGACCATCTCTGGTGGAGTGAAACAACTGTCATCATAAGTCACATTACAGTGACAACATGGTGTCTGGATTTCACTGCACTTATTATTAATACGTATATAGCACTTACATTTTTAATGATGGCGAAGTAAGTTCTTGTAGTATCTAATCAGAGACTATGCGATTTCAGATTCAGCTTTTGTTTCTGGTCTTTACTGATTGTTGATTTAATGGGGTAGTTTACCCAAAATTTTAAATCCCTGTCTTGTCATTCAAAACCTGCATGACTTTTATGGAACACCAAAGAAGATATTTCGATATTTTTATTTATTTTATTATTTATTTACGTGAAATTAGTCAATTGTGTTTGATGTTATTTGTGACCCCTGTTGACTGTCATTGTATGGACAAAAACAAATTTTCAACATTTTTCAAAAAATCTTTCGGTTTGGAATGAAATGGGGATGATTAAATAATGACAGATTTGTAATTTTTGGTTGTAATATCCCTTTAAGCACTGACATGCCGAGATGATTTAACCTCAGGATACTGACTGCTGGTAGGCACAGGCAACCTTAATGCTTCAGTGAACCCCGGCCCAGTCTGGCTTCAGGGGAATAACCCCGTTTTTGTGAAACATATGCATTCAAACAGACAGAAAACAGTGTAGCTGGTTAAGGCTGCACTACTTCAATCAAGAAATCAGTCATTTGCTCTGTGTTAAGTTTGTCTAAACAGGTTGTAATTTCAGCATTCTTACTTTTTACAGTGTGCAATCATAATTACCAGTTTCAGCCTCGCCACTGAGCTTGGAACAGTAATTATTACACCGACAGACAGAGAACATTTCCACATAAACCTGAGCTAGGCTCTGAGGGAAATACGGTGAAATGAAAAGGTGATGATGGCTTCCTATAATTCCAATAATGGCCAGCAGATGAGGACTACATTAACATTTGGTGCTTAACGTTCATAACTCTTCTCGCTGCAGCATCACTTAACATTTCTATATTATTGTCACAAAGTCCTCTGTCTCACCTCATGTATATTTCATGAGTGTTGCTCTTTTCCTTACGATTTAGTTATTTGTGGAGTGCAAATACTGGGAACTGATGAGCAGGTCATTGTATGGGTAATTTTTAGTAGAGGTATGTTTTCAGATTTACCCTTTTCCACTCTAGATTCCTTTAAACTATCACTATAAATGGTGGAAGTTTGCCAATTAGATGTTTTTATTTACCATTCCAGAGGGAAATAATGTAGCAAAACAACAACAAAAAAGATCTTAACAGTGGCTCTGTAATTGGACAGTTATTGCGACCGGTATAGCCATCAGGTAAAAGTTACTAAAATACTTTTCTTACACTTTGAGTAATTTTTGTTTTTAAACAAAATTTTTAAACATTTTCATAGCAAAATATTTTTTTTATATAAATATTACTACTTTAATGAACATCAGATGCTTTTTTTGGAATTACTCCATTTGACCTGAACAAAATAGCTTTTCATTGAAAGATCAAAATATCTTGATTTTTGAGGGTTGAGAATTACACTATTTGACCTGAACTAAAGTTGCCCTAAAGTTGATTTATGGTTTAAGTGTGGGATATTTACATCACCCTTCAGAATTTTTTACTGTTTTCACAAAGGCCACTTTTTTAAAACCCAAAATAGGTGTGAAATATTATTGATTATTATTCTAATATGTACCTTGAGGTTATAATATACCCTATTATATATGTGAAAGAAAAATCCTTTTCAACCCTCATTCCGACCCTCTGTCTGAAAATATCTGTTTTTTTTAAGGGGCAGCAAATGTCCGCTTTTATGATTGACCAAAGAAAAACACAGACAGCAAATACATTACCAACCAATCGCGTTTGGTATGCGTGCCAGCAAGTGGGCGAGGGCTATTGTGCCACAAAGTAAAACTATTTGGTGTGCCTTGGAGGCAGGCATATGCAAATGTGTTTGCCTGTGTGACATCATAAATTCCACAATATCTAAACCAGCTGTTTTTGTAGCTTGATTTAAATAAATGCTTTAATTTATAATGAAGAGGATGTTTTAAGTTATGAAACTTGCAGGAAGTTTTAATGGTGCAAAGACCTTATACACCAAAAGTGCAAGGCAAACTTTATTTCTCACGTCATGACTCATTTTATTCCTGATTGCAATCATTACGCCAGTCTTCAGTGTCACATGATCCTTTAGAAATCATTTTAATGTGCTGATTTGGTGTTCAAGAAACATTTCTTATTACAAATGTTGAACAAAGTTTATATTGATTTGGCAGGAAAAAGTTTGCATTAATATTTTGAATTTTCTTTGTTGCTGTTTTTATAAAGAATCATATATCAGCTTCTTAATGATGCTTTTCTTTTTTAATCTCTGCAGTCATACACATACATTTTTACTCTATAACCCTCAAAATATTTCCAAATGACAAAAAATATGTTTCGTATGAAAAATGTATAAATGTTTTGTAGAATTACAATTATCAGATTTTTTTTTTTTATTATTAACTGAATAGAGCAAAAAAGGCACACTATTTAGATGGGAGTAACCTGTTTAATCCGAGCACTTTGGTCTTGTAGAGCACGGTCGACCACTTCCTCCTTTCGCCTCAGTTAACAGTTCAAATGAAATGCAAATGGCATTACTCGAGCCATTTAATCGAGGGCACTATTAGATTATGTACGGTACAAACTTTGCGCGAAGCCTGAAGTTGTTCCAGTTGCTGACGCTAGGAGCTGTCCGCGGTACTGAAACGGCTCGACTCAGTCTGAGAGGTGCTGACAGAAATTGAACATTCTCTGGCTCTCCGTTCACAATTATAAATCTGATCAGAGCTCCGGTCTCGCGCAGCGATCTCGTTCCTCACGGCGCGTGCTGCGGAGGTCTCGCGGAACGTTTGTGTCCTGCTCCTCTTTAAATATTCGGAAAGTGTTTTAATGCAAGGACATATTCTGTGATAGGAACCCTCTGCCGCGAGAATGAACTCGACAAGAAATTACAAACCAAGCATGGGCATTCTGTTTCTGGTCGTAATTGCTGGCTTGGGGATGGCACGAGGGCAAGGTAAGAATTTATATTTAATTGTAAACATTAGATATACTTGTTCTGCTGTCCACGAGATTTGCGTTTTGGATGCGCGCAGATCCACAGAGCCCGATGTGTAGATGATGCGAAAGCGAGACCCATTTCTCACTGTATTGTACCTTTGTTTGCGGAGAAAAAAACTCCGGTTTGAGAAACATCTTGGGGCAGAGGAGGCTATTTTAGACGTTTCACTAGTAACGTTACTTTGGTCGCACGCGAGAGTCACGCATTGGACAACAGATGGACTCGTAAGTCACAAAGTCATAGGCGTAATTATGATAAAGCAAGCATAGGATTGACAGCACAGCGTGTGACAGTGTATTTTTTATTTATTCTATTCTCTGACTTAATATTTTTTGTCAGAGCTCTGTTTCATTCTCTCGTTTTTCATTTTTCCTGTCTGTTTGTTCTCTATACACTATTTATATGACGTAAAGTTAGTACAAATTCCCAGATCTTTGTTTAGAGATTTAATATGTTTAATATGATCTCATCAATATGTTAAATGTGATTATAACAAGGTGACAACTTTGAGGTTCAACAGGTTTTTAATTTGGGGATCACAGCGTGACATTATTTATCTACTCTGATTTAGAAGTGAAACATACTTTCAGTGATGATAAAGATTGGATCTGCACCTTCATTTTTTCCCTGTAACTGTCACTGTAAATTGCATTTTACTTAAATGACACATTCCATTCACAGTAATCGTATTTAAATATCTGAGACTATCATTGTATTTTATTGTGGTATAGAAAATGAATGATGTTAAAACAAAAGCACAAATGTTTGAAATGAGTATTATATAGTTCTAATGTAAACTGAAGGCCTGTTTCAGATAGCTCCTTTACACCACACTATTGATAGAATAAGTGAGTGACATCTTCTGTACATTTTACATGTTTCAGTTCAAGTAATTGTCACTTAAATGAGGCGGCTATAACAATATAAAAAACTATAACACACACTTTGACATGGGTGTCACAATATGCATTCAATTTGAAGGTTATACCTAGTGTCTTGGTAGTGCATGTTCATCTTCAAAACATTGATTCAAATTTACACAATACAGAATAATACTAAATGCTGTAGCTCTGCAGTTGAAACCTGCTACAGTTATTTCTCAGGCACAGTGTTGTCCATGTTGCACTTAATTTTCACTCAAAGCTGTTGTACACCATCACCTTAGAGCTGTGTTGTTTTTGCTTTTGTCTGACAATTCCCCTCACTCTTTTTGTCTTACTGTAAAAGCCCGGCGAGCAATACAGGGGATAATCTTGTGTTATTTGTCAAGAGCAGCTCCATGCAGTATACTTTTGAGAGATTTTGTTGTTGTTGTTTTTACAGAGAAAAGACACTCTTCTCTGTAAAATCCTTTAAAAATGTAAGAAACAACAGGTATTTGATTGCATATCTACCGTGTTAGGTTTTTAAATGTAAGCATAATTTCCATCTTGAAGTTCTTCCAATTGAACAGTACCGTTACACTTTCACTCCCCTGTCAACTGCTGTCGAGAGACTTGCGAAGCAATCAACTTACAATCTCCTCCTCATTCGAGAAGAAGCTTTCATTTGCAAACGTGACAAGTTTCAGTTTTAAGCTGCAGCTTGATTGAAAGAATCTGAGCTTTCTCATTCTGTCTCTTGTTTCAGACTCATTTTGTCTGTCTTACTCGTAACTAATTGCGTCTTGTGCTGTACGGATTATATATCGGTGATTGGAACATTGACCTTTTTGCTATGAGTGTATGAGTCAGTGTTTTCCGATCAGTCACCTTCAGGACGGTGTGATGAGGCTTCAGGGCTGCGCGCTGAATAGCTCTTACCTTGAAAAGCACTCTGACTAATGCACAGCTCCATCATTCCACACTGAGCATAGACAGCAGGCTAAAAGCAGGGCCCACCACTCACAAATGGATGATGGGCTATACAAGAAACGGCGAAAGGTCTGGGGGTCAATTTGCTCAGGTCTGCGCTGTTCTCCGTAAATACATATTTAGAGCCTTCCCACCAGGAAAGCACGCTGAAAAAGACTAATGTAAATTATATAAAAAAATATCTGACTCATGTTACGGATGTTTTGAACAAAGCACAGGTCCCAGTGCAAATGTATTTAAATGAGATTCACTAGTGTATAGACACCCTCACGGCCTAATGGCGTTGTGAGCAAATGCTAGCAATGGTTAAATTTGTAATCTAGAGCTGTTTCTTCACTACACACAGTAGCTCATCTAAGCATATGTTGCATTTACAAAGACTTTTTAATGCAGAATTGATTTGCATGCACAATGAATGGAAAACTGTGGTGTGATTGTCATGACAGAGCTGCTTGTGTATGGTGTTGGAACCTTTACCAGTGGCTTAACTGTAATGCAGTGTTAAAGAGCCCCTATCATAGCATTTGAAATATTTGTTTTAGGAGTTCCCAAAAACAGTTTAACATGCATGCAAGGATAAAAACACTTTATTTGTCTTATAATATGCATTTATTTTTAACTGATTTGCTCACCGACTCCCAAATGATTCGTACAACGACTCATTTTTCCAAACCACTCCTTTGCGTGACGCTAATCGGCGGTGATTGGTCAGATGACAGACCCAGTCAGTTGTTGTTCGTTAGCATAACGCATAAACATATTGATAAAGCACTGCAGTACTACAAGACGCTCTATTCTTTATGACAACTCCAATAACAGCGACAAACATTTCACATATTTAAAAAAAATTGACATTGGAGACCTAGAAGCTGCGCTGAGCGTAACTTACACACACACGCGCGCGCACACACATACAGTACTTATTGTGCCTTCCCTCCTCGTGCCCCGACGCTACAAAACTGTTCAAAACCCATAAAAGCAACAATTATTAATAATACTTACAGGTTTTAATTCAGAGGAGGAAGCTGATCCATATACACTGGGTAAGTAAGTTACTGAGCCCTCCTTCAGGAACAACCACTTGCGAATCCACATTTGAATTCATTTATGTTTTTGAACGATTCGTCATTAAAATGAGAACACAATCGGGCTATACTGTTGTGGTATCGTTGCAAATATGAACTCTAACCACCGATTCTTCACACGCTCGTCCCTGGTAAATGAAAACAAAGTGGCTGAACTGTCTTTGCATTGTAGAACACAGCGTCTTCTCGACATGATGCTATGATGAAGTATTTGAATGTGTAGACTTCAAGTTTACACTTCCGTCTGCGCGCGGCCAATGACCTCTCTACGTCACGATGTAACAGCTAATGACTCGTTTCAAATACAATTCATTTCATAGACTCAGAGTCGACTCTCACTTTTGAAACACAATAACTTTATATACGGTGCCCTTTCAGATATAAATCTTTGCAGGATGTTTTCATTCCCTTAGAGCTATATTCCACACCATATGAACAGTCATTTTCAAAAATCCATGATAGGGGCTCTTTAAGATTGTAATGGAGCTCCATTATCGAATCTTTGCTGCAGAATGGCTTCTCTCATTTATTTACACTTTGACAACTCTCTTAACCAAAATATTGGAACTGGAAAAGCGTAATGAAGATATAAATTATGGACCCACAATGTATCTTTATCTTGATTAAAATAGGCTCTGTGGTAATCTACTTTAAGGGACTTTCATTTTTTTGTTCTACAAAATAAATTCATTTTGTACCTCCTACATGAAGTTGCTATATAGGGACTACAACGGTTTTCTCTTTCATCAAACATCCTTGTGGTAGCTGTAGTCTACTATGTAACAACATATTTTGGAGGGAAAACAAATATTGAATAGCGATCGATCGCTATTCAATATTTGTTTTCCCTCCAAAATATGTTGTTATTGGTTAGTATTGGATATTTATGATATTTAGAATGCTCATTTCCCTCATTTTCAAATTTAGATTACCTTTACCATCTTATGCTAAAAATGAGCAATGTTAAATGTAATCTAAAGCAAATCTCAACCATACACAACACAATGGATATCTATTTTTCATACTGTACATTATAATGTCGTGATGCCTAAATTCACTTTTCGTGTCTAAAATGCATTTTAATTTTAATTAATTTTATTAGACAAGATAGTGTTGAATTGTAACACTGGCCATTTATTGGTCATTGGCCTTGACACTAAAATAATTATTGGCTTATTGGTGTCGGTCAGTATTGTATCTATAAATTTGTGCATTTCTTATAATATTATTAATTAAAAGAGGGCTATATTGACAATCATTGTTGAAGTAAAAAGACTGAAATAGCATTTTCTTATAAATCCAACCATGATCAATTTTTGCATCTTCTTTTTTACATTTTTTTTTTACAGTGTTTGTCTCATTCATCAAGCATGTAATCTCACATCCTTGTGGTGGCTGTAGTCCACATTTAGCCACTTGTTAGCAAACAGAGCAGCATTAAAATCCATATTTGAGGAATGACTGTAGTGCCGAATGGTCTCAAAGCAGCCCGAGAAACTAACGGAGTCGTCTGAGCTGCTGTCTGTGTGCTCTGGCAGTGTGTTAGATCAGACATCCCAGGTCTCCACTGAGAGAATAAGAGTGTCAGTGATGGGTGGACTTGTAGTCAACCCAGCCGAGATCGGCCCTCGAGGTGGGTGAGTGCCACAGCCTGACTCCATTACCCGAAGCACCAGGGGGAGGGTTCGGCCACGCTTCCTCCCAACGCGCCTCATCCTGCTCCGAGAAGCCATTAGGCTCACACCCTGTCTTTTAGGATCAAGCAATATCACTCAATCAGCAATTTATCAGTGCCCTGTGTCGTCCCAGGCAGTGCTGGAGAAGAAGGATGGAGGAGGGAGTGATAGTCAGCTTGACCCATTGACCCCCCACGCACACTCGGTTCAGCAGGAGCTATGAGGTTGAGCGTCTGCTCTCCTAGTCTTTATTACGACCCTGATAAATGAGTCAGCCGCCGAGCTGGATGGCCTCCTACGGCCACACTGGCAGACCTGCCACTCCTGTAATGCTGATGAAT